TTCACTGCATTTATTTTTGGAAAGCAGAGCCCTAAGGTTCTGAGGCCTGTGTGTCCCTGAAGGGCTGCTTTCGGGCTGAACACTGAGGCCTCCGTTTTCAGTGATGGGTGGTGGTGGTGGGGGGAGAGGTGAGCGACAGAGCAGGGCTCTGCTCCGACCTGCGGGGCTCCCCAGGCGGAAGCGGCTGCCCCTGGGCCCCGGCCCCCTCTGAGTTCCAGGCCTGTGACTCCCTCCGTCTCCGAGGTCCCCAGGGAGGCTGCTGGCTCTGGGCCGTCAGCGCCGCCACGGGGCCTCCCTGTCCACACTAATACCAGGCCACAGGGGCCTGGGCAGTGGGCAGCGGGGGGCAGGAAGTGGACAGCAGCCCCGGAGAGGGCCGGCGCCAGCAGACTGCTGGGGGGCGCGGACTCCATTCTGCGCCACACCCCACACTCCGGTTTGAATGCCACCGGCCCACCGGCCGTGCAGGGAAACACCCCGGGTTCAGATCTGCACCGCTGCTCCACGCCCGCCCGCCACGGGGTCCCAGCTCGGGTCCCAGCTCGGGTCCCAGCGCGGCCCTGCCCCTCCTGCGGCCCGGCCCGCAGCTCACCTGCAGGAAGCCCGGGAGCTCCTTCTCCATCAGCGCCTTCAGCTCGCTCTTGCTCAGGCTCTGCTTGCTGCCCTCGCCGGCCGCGTAGCGGGCGAACACGTCGATGATCAGGCCTATGGCCGTCTCCAGCTCCGTCATGGTGCGCGCTCTGCTGCCTGGCGCGGGCGCTGGCGGTGCTCGGGAGGAAATGCCGTCTGGCTGGGCTCGGCCGCGGCTTTATGAGGCCAGCCTTGTTGACACAGGGCGTGGGACGGGCCAGGCACCGTGTGGGCCCTGTCTGCAGCTTGCCCTCCCCCGGCCGCCTCAGAACCGCCTCACTCTGCAGGGCCTGCCCGGGTGGGGGTCACCGCTGAGTCAGGGAGGCCCTCCCCTCCCTGGGCGAGCGGGGTCTCTGGGTGAGCGGGCCTGCGGAGTGTTTGTTGAGTGAGTCATAGATGAGCTTTTCCTGCCTCACCTCGGACTTCAGAATGCTCAGGCATCCAGGGCAGGTCCTGACGAAGTGTCTGCGCAGGGGACGACCTGCGTGTGTGAGGGACGCGTCACCCCCTCTTCAGAGCAGTCTGGGTACTCGGGGAGCTGCTGACCCCCACCCCACCCCACCCCACCCAGCCGCGGCCGCTGAAGGAACGGCTTCGCAGGGACCTGTTAGAGAACAGCGGCGCCGGCACTTTCTTCAGTGCTCGGCAGTTACGAGGGGGGCATTCATTCTGACAGGCTGGGCGGCGCTCGGTATCCGCCCGTCGCTGCACCCTGCCGCCCCTCCTTGCTCTTCTCTAGGTCCTCTGGCCACTTCCGCAGCCTCTCCTCCTCCTCCTCTCCCACGTAGGACAGAAAACACCTGATGTTGGGCTTTCTGCGCCCCGCTTACTTCACTTACTGTGGTGATCTGTGTTTCCATCCATTTCCCCCAAATGACAAGTCTTTGCTCCTCTTTATGGCTGAATCGTACTCCACTGTGTATGTATGTCACTTTTTTTTTGTTGTTTTTTTGGTTTTTTTTTGAGACAGGGTTTTGCTATGCAGTTCAGGCTGGCTTTGAGCTCACTTTGTAGCCCAGGCTGGTCTCGAACTCACAGTGATCCTCCTGCCTCAGCCTTCCAAGTCACGTTTTCTTTATCCATGCATCTGTCTATAAACCCCTAGGCTGGGTCCATATCTTGGTTATTTGAATAATGCTGTGATAAGCAGGGTATTTAGGTATGGACAGTATGCGGACTTCAACTCCAGTATACACGGATCAAACGCTAGCTCTATTTGTAGTTATGCGAGGAGCCTCCGCCCTGGTTTCTACAGTGGGTGTACCAATTTATACTCCTACCCACGTCTCACCAGAGCATTTGTTTTTTAAATCTTTGTTTCCTTTTTTTTTTTTTTTTTTTTTTGGTACCTGGAATCCAGCTCAGGACCTTGCTCTTGTCAGGCAGGTACTTATGCTGTTGAGCTGTATCTATCTCTGGCCCTCACCAGCACAATTTTGTAGAGATTGAACCCAGGGCCCTTTTACTGACCTGCATACTGCATACCCAGCTGCATACTCCCGCTCCCCTTTTTTGGTTGTTAAATTGCCCAGGCTGGATTCAAACTTGCAGTCCTCCTGGCTCAGCCTCCCAGAGTGCTGGGATGACAGATGTGCACACCTGGCTTGTTTTTTGTGTTCTTGATGACAGCCATCCTGCCCAGGGTGAGATGAAACCTCAGTGTGGTTTTGATTTGCATTTCCCTAGTGGTTAAAGATGTTGAACTTTTTCTTTTCTTTTTTCTTTCTTTTACACAGGGTCTTGCTGTGTAGTTCAGGATGGCCTTGAACTCACTTGTAGTCCAGGATGGCCTCGAACTTGAGGCAGTCCTCCTGCCTCAGCCTCCAGAATGCTGGGACTATAGGTGTGTGCCACTATGCCCAGCTGAATATTTTTTTCATATACTTCTTGGCCTTTGTACTTCTTCTTGAGAAGTGTCTGTTGCGTTCATTTGCCCGTTTACTGATGGGGTTATTTGGGGGCTGGGGGAGGATTTTGTTTTTTGTATGTGTGTTGGATGGTAGTCCTGTCAGAAGAGTAACTGGGGAAGTTTTCCCCATTGTGTAGTTTGCGCCTTCACTCTGATGATTGTTTCCTTTGCTGGACGGAAGCTCTTTCATTTGACCCGGTCTCATCTGTGGATTCTTGCTATTATTTCCTGGCCGCTGGAGTCCTATTCAGGAAGTCTTTGCCTGTGCTTAGGATTTCAAGTGTTTCCCCTGTTTTCTCCTAGCAGTTCCAAAGTTTCAGCTCTTATATTCGCATCTCTTTTTTTTTTTTTTTTTTTTTTTTTTTTTTTTTTCTTTTTTTTTTTTGGTTTTTCTCCGGTACCAGGAACCAAACTCACGACCTTGCGCTTGCCAGGCAGGCGCTTTGCCGCTGAGCTAAATCCCCAGCCCCCTTTTTTGTCTTTTTGAGACAGGGTCTCACTATGCAGTTCAGGCTGGCCTTGAGCTCACTTTGTAGCCCAGGCTGGCCTCAGACTTGCACTGATCCTTGTGCCTCAGCCTCCTGAGTGCTGGGATTGCAGGCGTGCGCCACCATGCCCTGGTTTACATTCACATTTTAAATCCATTTCGAAGTGAGTTTTGTCCAGGGTGAGAAGCAGGGGTCTAGTTTCAGTCTCTTACGCACAGATGTCCAGTTCCCCCTGCACCCCTTGTTAAAGAGGCTGTCTTTTCTCCCATGCGTGTTTTGGGCCCCTTTGTCCGGCCCCAGTGTGCAGCCGTGTGGGTCCGTGTCCTCTGTTGGGGCCGGTTCCATGCTGCTGTTGATCCGACGGCTGTGGTATGCTTTGAACTTGGGAACCGTGATTCCACCAGCTTAGCTCTTCTGGTTCAGGGCTGTTTTGGCTGCTCTGGGTCTTGTGTGTTCTTATGAGACTTTCAGGACTGCTTTTCCCTGTCTTTGAAGGTCATTGGTGTTTTCATGGGAATTGCATCGGATCTGGAGGCTGCTCTTCTGACACTTTTAGGGTCTGGAGACCTCATGGAGGCCTCATGGGGAGTGTGGCAGTGTGGCTGTGCCCATGGCTGGCGCGGAGTGGCCTCCAGGGGCAGCTGCCTCACGTGAAGTGGGGGCTGGTGGCCTGGAGGGTGCACAGGGGCCGGTGCTGATTCGCAGCAGAAAATCTTATACTTTTTTATTTTTTGGTCTTTTTGAGACAGGGTTTCGCTGTGCAGTGCAGGCGGGCCTTAAACTTGCACTTCCTGTGTCTTTTTTTTTTTTTTTTTTCCAGAAAAATTAGTTAGAAGAGCCGGGCGTGGTGGCGCACTCCTGTAATCCCAGAACTTGGGAGGCTGAGGTAGAAGGATCATTGCGAGTTCGAGACCAGCCTGGGCTACAAAGTGAGCTCAAGACTAGTCTGAACTCCATAGAGAGACCCTGTCTCAAAAAGACCAAAAAAAAGAAAAAAGAAAAAAGAAAAATTAGTTAGAAGCATCTCTTTTTCCACGTTTTGGTTTCAAACATTGGCAGAAGCCACAGTGGCCCATTTAGGGTCTCCCCGGGGTGTAGATCTTTGTAGTTGTCACTGGTAGGGCAGACACGGCAGGAAATGCATGGTTAGGCTGTGTGACCTGCTTGACCTTTGCCCTCTGACCAGCCATGTGGGCAGGAACTGATTTCCCAGGCCGGCCTGCACTGTTTCGAGTGTGAGGAAGCCGGATCGATCTCCAGAGCGAGCTCCTTCCCTGCAGGAGACGTGAGTCACAGCTCTCCGTCCCTGGCCACCTGGTGGCCATTTTGTTCCCCATTCTCCAGGCTTGGGCACCTGGGGTCCCTGGGCCCAGCGGTGAGGTGCCACGGGGCCCTGAGAGCCACGAAGCAGAACAGGGTGGTGGAAATGGTGCCCACGGCCCAGAGGGAGCTGGGCTGGCAGCTCCGGTTGGCTGCAGGGTAGACACGGGAAAGGCTGCTGTAGGGGAGACAGGTCTTGCCAGAACCCCCTGGAGACTGTGTCCCCACACGCTCCGTGCTCGGAGGCTACGGAAGCAGCTCCTCGCTCCTCGCCCCTCGCCCCAGCTCTGTGCTTGGCGTGGCCTCCAGCCCGGCCTCCGGAGCTCCGCCACCCCCGCCCCGGCTGCCAGTCTGGTGTCCAGGTACATGAGCTCAGGGACCTTGGTGTCCAGCACCAAAAGGCCAGACAAAGAACCAGAGGGACAAGGCTCCTACCTGTTAACCAGCATTTAGGTCCTTACCTCTAGGATGGGAAGGAGGAGGGATGTTGTCCCCCCACTTCTGACAAGGCCACCCGAACGCCAGGCCCCTGGGGTCTAGAGAGTTCTCCAGTGAGTCTGGTGCCAGGGAGAATTGGACATTTTTTTTTTCTTTGAGACAGGGTCTCGCTATGCATTTCAGGCTGGCCTTGAGCTTACTTTGTAGCCCAGACTGGTCTCGAACTTGCAATGATCCTCCTGCCTCAGCCTCCTGAGTGCTGGGATTATAGGATTGCACCATTATGCCAGGTGAGAATTGGACTTTTTTGTTTGGTTTTTCTCCGGTACTGGGAATCAAACTCACAACCTTATGCTTGCCATTCAGGCGCTGTGCTGCTGAGCTAAATCCCTCAGCCCAGAATTGGACATTTTTGAGAAAGCCTTTGGCATGAGGTGTGGCAGGCAAGCTCTGCCTGCCGGGCTTACTTGAAGGCCCCAGGACTGGGTCTGAGGAAGTGACTCATCTCTGTCTTCTGGAGTCTGGGGCGGGGAGGAGCTCACAGGACAATGTCTGGGCCCAGCAGAGGTGACCCTGGGCCCCTGGTATCTGTCTGGCCCCAGGTCCTGCCCAGAGCCCTGGGCTGCGCAATGCATGGTGGGCAGAATTAGACCCCTGGCATCCGGGTCTCCAGCCAGGCGGAGGCAGAAGGGAGAGGAGACCAAGCAAGGGAAGCGGTGGTGGGGAGGAAGACAGGGCCCTTGCTGGCTGTGACCTGTGCCTGAGAGCAACCTGGAGTGTGGGGAGGACAGGATGGGGGCCGAGGTGTGGACGGATGGCAGCATAGGGCCAGGGGACAGAGAGGCCTGGAGCCTGGGCATTTTTGGGAGGGAGAATGGGGTCCATGGTGTAGATGGCTCGGGGTGGAAAAGGCCAGGAGAGGCCCCCCAAAATGGCCCACTTGCACCTCCCAGCTGCAGGGGGAGCCTCCCAGGGTGCTGGTTCTGCTGTTCCCCACTCGGTCCGGAGCTCCAGCTGATCCAGATGAGCAAGAGCAAAGTTCAGTAGCATTTTTATCTATCTTTCTTTCTTTCTTTCTTTCTTTCTTTCTTTCTTTCTTTCTTCTTTCTTTCTCTCTTTCTTTTTGACTTTTTGAGACAGGGTCTCACTGTGCAATTCAGCCTGGCCTTGAGCTCCCTTTATAGCCCAGGCTAGACTCAAACTCAAAGAGATCCTCCTGCCTCAGCCTCCCAAGTGCTGGGGTTACAGGCATGTGCCACCA